ATTTTCACCCAACGCAAACAGGTGCATCAGTCATCAGTGAGGAAGGCTGAATTTAGAAGTCGTTTTTGTTGTTCGCTATGTTTCTTGCGTTCGAAGCTAAAAGATGTGATTTTGGTCCGTGCTGCGGATTAAGTAGCTTTTCACCAGCAGGAACGACAGGGCTCTCAATTCCGCACAAATTTCGAGCATCGTCGATAGGTCATCCATTTTCCGTTCAGATTGTAGACCAGAAGATTTCGTCATACTGTCTTCAGGGTTTAGTACTGAGAGTAATTTCCTGTCTGGAATATGTTCACATTGTCGTTCTCGTCTAGATAGCTGCCTTATACACATTATTCCTTATGACCAAAAAGCCGTTATCCGACCGTAGCCACTTAAGCATATGCTTCTGTCATACTTCACAGTGCCATCTAATCCCATTCCTTAGTACTTGTCACTCTCTGTGGCAGAAACACCGAAGATGGGTTATGCAGCATATGGCAATGAATACAAATTTAATATTCATCTGTAGGGAGTGAACTTTTGGTAGGTAATGTAGCGAATGGTTTTGTGTATCTTTGCTAGTGGATGATTAGCTTTTTTGGATGCGATCGTCGTTGATCTATGTGTTTATTTGTTCAGGAGTTAGCTGAGCCACAGAACGTGCTAGTCAAAAACAAGCTAAGCGGAACCGAAAACAGATCGGTGGTACATCGGCAGCTTCCTCACCCGCCTCTTCCTCCATCGGTCATGCAGCGACCAGACTTCGCGCCTCCTCCGCCTCCACCACAGGCGTCAAACAAGCCACCGCCATTCTCAGAGTTGCCTGCTCGACAGATTCATGTCCCGAACAAATCCTCCTCCACTAGTGAGTTGCTTTGTCTTGACTTTTGCCGTTTCTTCACTTTTCATCTTCTGTTTTTGTTTAGGTCCCCACCCAACCCTTGCCACCGCCGCCACCCCAACTGACGCCGCCGCTGACCGACACAGCACCAGTAGTGACTCCCGTTTGCCACCACCGCCGGTGCAAGCTTTTCTGGTGAACGCGAAGTGGTATGGTGACCGTAAGTGATTGATTGTGATTCTTAAACACGGTAGTTTTGGTGCATACCATTTTGACGCTTTTCAGAACCGAATAATAACCACGTGGATGCGACGCCTCCTGCTCCGCCTCCTAGGACGGACGTGGCAGCATCAGGTAAGTTTTAGATGTTTCTTGATCACTCAAGATAGTCACGTATTATTTCCGTTTAGACGACATGGAAAGAAATTTTACCTTCAGAAGTATCAGGGATCTACCTCTTCCGCCTCGATTCATGAACTTGCGGAAAAAGAACGATCTCCTGAAGAACTAATGCCGCGATGCGATGCTGCTGCAGATGCACTTTCGCGATCAGAGCAACACAACAACGCAGTGCAACGACGATCTTCATCGACGGCATGCTGGTCTCATGTCCGCTTGTTTTTGAACACTTGGACACTTTTACTATGTAAACATACACGGCTTTGGCCACTTGCCCTTCCTTTTAAAGAGCGGCGCTGGTGTTTCACTTACACGTTATATTCGCTGAACAGCGGTCGCCGATGATAACCAGTGCCCTGCACTTCTGCCGGATCAAAAGTGCCTTGTGACTAGTGATCCAATTGACGATCGATGTACAACAGGAGACGAAGCGAGTCTGGTCTGGTGTTCACTGAATGATTGTTTGTGTCATAATTGCTTAGGAGATAATCATTGATCAAACGGATAATCCATTCAGCAAGTAGATTGACGTTTATCCTTGTGCCAGTGGAACCGGATCAGATGTGGGACGATATCTGAACATAGCAATTCGATTTCACATTTTTTCGCTCCTGTGCATTACAGTGTCATAATCGCTTCGTTAGTGATTTTGTTCGCATTTCTTTTTATTCTTTCATTTTGTAATTATGTACTTATTTAAGGTTACTTTTTTATCTTTTAAATAGAAATTGTTTTATCGCCGTTTCTAGGCGAATCTTAAAATTTCACATCGTCGATGCTACCTTGCATACGCTTGGATGAGTGTCGTTTCAAATTCATACTTTGTTTTCATGTGTTGTAACACTATTCAAAGTAAGCGAGAATTGAAAAAAACAAGCTTGTGCAAATCTGTCGTTGCATCTAACTATGCTGTTGTTCGATCAGTAGCAAAGCTTTGGAATCTGTAAACTAATGTGAACTTCTGAATAATAGTTGGACTCAGAACGATTTTCAGATATTCTTTTTTTCTGATAGTTCGATTTAGTCATATTTCAAACCATCATGAAATCTATTCCCGATCACTTTAGATTTGTCATGTTTTGCAACTGCATCGATTTGGTTGCACTTCTGGCTGTTTAAT